TTGCACATAATACAATACAATGTATGGAAAAATATGTTGAATTAGATTAAATGAATAATCTGTCGAGATTTTTATCCTTAGGAGCAAAGGGAACATCAGCCATATATATACATTCCTGCAATGTGCAATGTAAATGCATTATACTTCTCCAGATGGATTCATTTTTACTTCCAAGAGATTTTGTGCTGTACGAGATAAATATATGAAAATAGTTTCATTTCATAAAATTAAAAAAAAAGCTTATTTTAATTGATTTTGAGGTTTGCCAAACAGCTAGTCTTATCAATAACTCAGATCCCCTACATTGCATTTTTCACATAATACAAGGATTCTACAGAACAATCGCCACCATGAGGATCATCATGCTTGCGTCAGAGGTTTTACTATGCAATTTATTGCGATGTCCAGTAAAACAATTCAAGCCCGGGACACAATATGTTACATTAAATGGATCTTACCATACTAATCAAGTGGTTTGAATAATCGCTTCCCTTGCAGGAGAGATTTAAGGACCAGTGCTGGTATAACAAAGAATTAAGAGTGGTTAATTTAACTGCGTATTTTGCTGCTGTTTTCACACCACTTTCTGGCATGCCTTTTATAGAATGATTTTATCCTTTTCATAGCCTCTGCAAGAGCAGATGGATCAACGGCAAATGTAAATCGGAGCCAATCTTTCAGCCCTACCGCCGTTCCTGCCAGCTAGGATTGTCATTCTTAATTTTAAGAAATCCAAGGGCAAACTTGCAGTCAAAACCAAAGAATCAACGACCAAAATACTGTAAATACTTTTATCTGTAATTACCTAGTGGTTTTATGTGAAGATTATTTTTCATGTAACAAACGCAATGAGAAGTGGATTGTTTATTTTACTCCCATGCCTAACATGGGCTTATATATTAGTAGCCAAGGTTAACCAGCAGTGAATTAGTTAACAAATAACAGAATCTAGAATATCAGGTACAAGAACTGTAGCAGGTATCTGATTTGTTTTCCTGTTTGAATGAAAGCTTTCCAAATTAAAAAAGGATGCAAAAAGTAATAATTGAGTATGATTTGGTCAATTATACCTGGAAGAATGATAACAGATTCCTCCTTCGCGAGCTTGAAACAGAAATCAATATCATCACTAATATCATCCAGAAGTGAAAGATCGAGTTTCACCTGTATTGCAGTGTAGGTAATAAATACCGATGCTGATATAGTGACATTCATTCAGTTCTAAAGAAAATTCCAACAATGCCATGAACTCACCATCATAGCCATAGACCCATCAGGTTTGTGAGGGCAAACAATGCATGGAATATCCTCTATCTCTTTACAGCATACATCTGAGGTATGCCTTAACATGTTGAGGGTTTTCCTGAAGAAGACCTCTTCAGTCTCTGTAATTATGCGAGGTACAGCTGCCTGTTAGATCAGAACTTCTATCAGTCAGACGCAATGAAGAAGAGCTATCAATTAATAGTGCAAAAGATAATGACTGAACAAGGTTTTGGATGAAATCCTAACAGATTTCTGCACTAAATAACTTGATTAGATCAGGAATGAGGATTACACATGAAAAAGGAAAAGAACGAAAGAAAGAAAAAGACCTGGAATAACGAACTGAAGTTAATTCTATATCAAAGTTACTTCTCATGGTGGTACTGCAACTTTTTGTCAGAAGGTCTAACGACCAGTTTCCAGCCTAATAGCCTAATGACAAGCGTAGTCTAGAGTAACACTCTTCCTAATGCAATAGTTTACTTCTTCTCTTTTCAAAACCATAGAAAACAAATCCTAGTACTTCTCTTTTCTTTCTTTCATTTTCTTTTCCTCCAATTTGGTTTTTCTTATTGAGATGGATACTGGTAAATCCTGTCTAGCATGTTGAGTTACTTCATCTAGCAATGTTATTAACACTACTGGCAAGTTTCAACTCTGATAATTGACTGATTGTAAGAAAGAACCACGCAAACCAAAAGATAGAAAACCTGGATGAAGGTAGCTGGACCCCCAAAATATCAAAATACTTCTTTATTCTCTCAACAACCTGCATAATTAAACATCGACTTGATGGCATCAGGTAAGAAGGAAAATGTCAAAGTTTAAAACCTTAAGCTTTTTAAGGTAATAATGATATCTTTCAACTACAAAACATTTATATTTTCAAGCATTTGATTCTATGCATATGACAACAAAACAGATGATCTTAAGCCAATTTTGAACACCAATTTATTCCCATATTGTGAAGCTAACAAAGAGGAGAGAATACGAACAAATATAATAAAGAAATGTCAATCCCCTTTTAAATCATCACCCCCCCCCAAGGGGAGGTAACAGATGGGCTCGTTTTCGCATGTGCTTGTTTGCATACCATGGGATCGATATTCAAGCACATGCAAGTTAAAGCTTAAATTGCAGGTATAACTACTTGCAAATATTAAAAACTGTGTTAACCAAAGTGAAGGTGAAAGGAAGAGAACCTTCGGTTTCCTAAAAGTGCCACAAGGATCATTTATCACAAACCAACCAAGTCTCCATCCAGGAACTATCCATCGCTTAGATAGGGACCCAAGAGTAATAATAGGAACATCAGATCCAAAAACTCCCATTGGCACAAAAGGATTGGCTCCAAATGCAAGATGAGCATAGACTTCATCAGCAATCACAACAGTGCCAAGCTTCTTAGCAGTTTCTGCAATCTAAGTGCGACATACGGACCATTCAACAATTAGTAGTGTTTTGTGCTGATAGTGCCAATTCTATAAATGTCTTGTCTCAATTATTTCACCTTAAGTCAAATCCTATAACACTAACCTTCTTTAAATGATGGTAACTGTACACATTTCCACAAGGGTTTCCTGGGTTTATAATCACCAATGCAATTGTGTTCTTATCTGCAAGAGACTCAACAGCTTCCAAATCAACCTCCCAGCCTTTCTCAGGAAGAAGATCATAATGGCGAACTTCTACTTGTCTGAATGCAGCACAGAGATCATAGATTGGGAAGCCTGGCCTCGGAAGCAAGATGTTTGCTCCAGGGTGAGCAAGCATTGCCACTGAAACATCAATAGCTTGAGTGCATCCAGAAGTAATAAAAACATCATCGGATGTCAACTTGTAGGGAAGATCACGGGACAGATATTCAGCAATTGCTCTGTCACCAAGAAGAAATAAAAACATCATAGACACGAAAACCTAAAGGAGCAGATATTTTAAATTCTTTCAACTGCAAGTGCAAGGATGAATCCGATAATGCTTCTTGTGAGATGCCCGAAGACATCTTTCCAAGCAAAGGGTGAAACAATCCTTTGGCCAATCTGATCAAGAGTTTTGGACAAGTTAACCGGTTTAGATTTTATATTTTTTGGTCCTCCGGCTGAAAATTTGAAACCATGTCGTTTTTTAGTTTAAAAAGAAAAAGAAAAAGAGTTCATCAGATATATACTAACTCTGCTTTGTTGGATTATGTATGTGGATGAATGTTCTATTTAGTTGTGGTTATTGCTTTTTAATTTAAAATTCAATACTCGGTTTAAACTGTCTTAAACACAAAATTTCAACATTTAACAGCTAACTTTAACTTCAACAGCGGTGATCTTGAAATTATCAAGGTAACAATCATAATCAAGAAAGAATAGTTTCGAAAAGCAAAAGGGACAAAACTCAGCAAGCGAGAACAAAAACACGAAGATTGAAGAGCGAGAAGAAATCGAAATCCACAAAATGACAGGCAAGGAAGTACAGTTACTTTCTGGTTTGGAGAAGACCAACGGTAGGAGCATAGCCATTGAATTTCTGAGATTGAAGCGTATCAACGACAGCTTCCTGAGCAATATTAGTGGTGTGGAAGCAAGTATAAATAGAAGGGTCACCCATGCCCATAGAAATCACTCTCTTATCGCCACCATTCCCGTCAACGCTTTGCATTAAAAGGCTGAGAATCCCTTTAATGGTGATGGTTGAAGCGGTTTTTGCTTCGTGATTCATGGATGCCTCATTTTCCATGACTAACCGTAATCGACCTCAGTAGCTTCAGAAAGATGGGTTTGCGTACGGCCTTTGTTCACAGTTCTCTCACGGCTTGGAAGGATGAAGAAGACGAAGAAGAAGAGGATTTTCGCTATCTATATAAAGACGGAAGAGTGATGGGCATGTCCCGCAGTCTACTGTGAATAAGAACTTGATTTCCCATAACCACACGCTCCTTCTCCTCTCACGGAACAAAGTTTGGCGGCACCTCCCATCGGAACGAGTCTTGTCATATGACGCTCGTAACCGCTTCACAAGCGCCAAGCGCCAAGCGCCTTGCCGGTGGTTAGCTATGAAAAGCATTATCACTATTTAAGAATAATGACTATGTGGTACAAGTTTTATTCTTAATATAAGAGTTTATTTGATTTTTATTTTGATTTTAAATATAAGACCTCAATATATTTTATCTTTCATATTTATGTTTTTTTTTCAAGGTAACCTTCTAATAATTGTAGTTCTAGTCAATACAATTGATTAGTAAGGATATTTTTGAAAAAAAAATATATATTTATTACAAGTAACTAACTTAATTTTTTTCCTTAATCTCCTCAAATTAGTCAACTGGGTTTTATAATTAGGACTAAAAATAGTATTTTATTTGATGTCAATTGAGATTAATATTTATTAATTATTTATTAAATTACTATATAAAAATATTAAAAAATTATATACTATATGCATATATATGAAATTAATTATATAATTTGGAACTCATCATGTCAGAAAAATTTAAAAAAAAAAAAAAGAGAAAGGGACTTCTATTACTCCTCCGGTCCTAATTATAAGACCCAATTGACTTATTTGAGGAGATTAAGGAAGTAAGTTAAGTTGGTTATTTATAATAAATAAGTGTTGTCATTCCTAAAATATCCTTGCTAATTAAGTATATTGGCTAAAACTATCATTATTAGAAGGATTATCTTGGAAAAAAATACATAAATATAAGAGACAAAATGGATTGGGTCTTATAATTAGGACCAAATAAAAAATCAAATTGGGTCTTATAATAAGGACCGGAGGAGTATTAATTATGACAAATGATCTGAAAGACCTGTGACAAGATTTCGTACACGCGTCTTTTAGTTTTGAATTATTATTTTTGGTTCTTGTAATTTTTTATGCTCTTGATGAGTTTTGATTTTGATTTTGATTCCCATGCTTTAAATTTGTACAAGTCATTATAAAATTAGGACAAAAATTGGTAATTTAAAATTGCAAGGATCTAAACCAAAATTCAGTTAAATTATAAGAGCCAACCATGATATTAACTCCAAAAAAATTGTGAACAACAATTTAAAATTAAAAGATATATATGAGCTATAATTTTGTGTAATGTAAAAAAACTAGTTTTTTTATGTCATGTAAAAAATACAGAATGTTAATTGATAATTATTAAACATGAACTACTCCTCCGGTCTTTAATATATGACCCAATTTTTGAATTGGTTTTGATCTTAAATATAAGACTCATTTCTCATATTTATCAATTTTCTCTAAATTACCCCTATAGATATTCCCTAAACTATAATCAAATATAAGAGGGAGATGGGTATTAAAAAAGATGATTATGGTGTTTTAGGAAAAATGTGTCACTTTTCTTATAATTAACTAACTTACCTAACTTCCTTAATCTAATCAAATTAGTTAAATAGGTCTTATATTAAGGATCGGAAGAGTATAATTTTATGTAATGTAAAAAACTCTGTTTTTTTTTTTAAGAAAATTAGAAGTAAAAAAAAAAGTTCCCTTCGATTCCGTCCCAAAATGTCCGCTGGCCACTTGTCCTTGTGTTTCATTACTTGACACGTGTCTGTCTCCTGACGCCATAACGACGAGCTCCCCTGGCCTCCCATTTGCAGTGGCATCCCGAAGCCAGTCTGCGTCCGTTGTTTGCTGACACCAGCATAAATAAATAACGATATAGGCCTAAATTTTAGACAAATAAGAAAATGGTAAAATTATTTTTTCCGGTTATCTTTCATTTACCAAATTTAAAAATAGCACCCTTTTAGTCATAAATATAAAATTATTTTATATTATAAATTATATCATAAGATAATATTTATATTTAGGATCGGAAGAATATTTAAATTAGATTTTTAGAAGCAATTACATCGAATTATAATCATCTCATATCATAAAATTATTTTTTAAAAATTAATCCAAATACATTTAAGTTTATAAATGGTAGAACTCACAACTTCATGGCTAAACAAAAAAACTTAAAAAGATGCTTGATGTTATTGAAATAAAAAGTCATGTAAGACCTGAACTGTAGCCGAATCATAAAACATATGAACTAACAAATGAAATTATTAAATATAAGAAATTGAGCTTCAATTAGAATTGAGTGTATTTGATTATAAATTATATATCAATTATAAAGATTTGGTGATTTTTTTTTTCCTAAAAACAAAAGGGAGAACGATACTTGACTTTTTTACCCAAAAAAAATTATTAACTCCTTTTTTAAAACAATATTTTTTTTGAGATTGATAATTTTAAAAAAGATATTATAAATCAAAATATTAATAACTTTTTATACAAGTGACCTACCTACGGTTCTCACAAAATTAAGGTTACAATTTTGTTTTTTTATATTTTACAATATTATTCATAATTTCTAAAGTTGCGTGTTCACGAGATATAATTTTGACCGATTTAACTCAGTTAATAAATTAAAATTAATGAGCAGTAGCGTGTCACTTTGATAATGTGAAATATAATTGCAAAATATTTAAATACATTAAATTGGCGAGGTCATCGGTCAATGGATGATGCTTTTCCAATCCACGGAGTCTTGATGGGGACAACCGAAAAAGTGATTATTGACAACAACATTATATTTAATACCTACATTGTATCTTAACCAGTTTTTTTAAAAAAATTTATATATATTTTTTAAAATGCTTTGTCCGATGTGGCTTGCAAAACGTGAAGCCTAGCCTTGTTCAAGTTGAAGAGGTTTTTTCCACAAAGAAAACGAAGGAAAAAACAAATCCTTTTCGCTAATTTGACTGGGAAGAAAAATAAATCAGATGACATCAAAAATTTAACAGCAGGATATTCGTGGCATATCAGAATAAAAACTGTGGTGATATCTGTTTCTGTTTTTTTTTTTTTGTGTTTTTATATTTGAAAAAATCCTTAAAAAATACCTCTTGGATTTTAAAATTTCAAATCAGTCTTAGTGACCACATTTAAATAGTAATTAATTATATTTGAAAAGTAAATAACAACACATTTTTGTTGTAATTCTTGAATTTGAGAATTTGAAATTTAAGATGTTTTTTTTTAATTTTCCTTTATATTTTTTAGAATAGTTTAATAAAATTGTTCTTAAAACCAATTTTAAACCAAAAAATATTTAGAAAATTTTTTTAAAAAAATTGCATTTGAAAACATAAAAAATTGTTTTCAATGTTCTCCTCAAAATCAACTTGAAAAAAAAATGATAGAAGGTAAAAGACAAAGCGGGAGTGCAATCACCATGGACAAAAAGTTAAATGGTTTTGATAGACTAAAATTTGTGGTTTAAAATTTAAACGAAAGTAAATTTAAGGGACAAAAATTGTATTAGTTCATTTAGTTTTAGGATTTACACAAATCAATATTGACGTGAAATATAAAATTGCAGGAAATTTGTTTTTGACAAGACATTTATTGTTTGGGCCAAATTTTGTTAAGACATGAATCCTGAATAGTATTGAGTCAAAACGGCAAAACAAGACATAAACAACATATAACCCCCAAAGGAAAAAAAAAAAAAAACATAAGCAGCATGACCTATATGAAGTACCACATGCAAATCACCTCAATTTTAAATATAAAATCTAATTTATAGTACAATTTACACTATAAATTAAATCTTATATTTAAGATAGGAGGTATTCCCTCTAATTCTATTTATAAATTTCAAATTTAGGAAGGAATATGCTCTATTATATAAACTTTAATTTGGATTTGCTTTAACATTTAATATATTTTTTTAATTTGTCTTTAATTATTTCTCTCTTCTTATATTTCCCCACGAATTATCTTTTATCTTTTGTCTAATTTATCATAAGAGTATATTTAAAAACAACAATACAATTCTAATCTATTTACTATTTTTAATTAGTTATTTAGAATTTATAATAATAATACGAGGGAGTAATACTAATGTTTGCGTCTCTTCCCACTTGTTTTTTTGACCGAAAGTCTCTTTTCACTTGTTTTTTTGCTAAAACATAAGTATCTTTTTATTAGAGACAATCCTATTCGAGACACTGTCGGGTACTAAATGTAGACACTTCTCTCAGTAAGGATTCAAATCTTAGTTCGTCACGTTACGAGGGATTAGTCTCTTCTCACCTGTTGATTCCACAACTTTTACCCTTTTCTCCCGAGAATGTTCGGGAACTATAAACCCTCTGTTTTGACTCCCCTCCCCTCTCCTCCCCTCCCCTACCCTACCCTACCCTCCAACCAAACCCTTAGTGGCGCAGGGGCTAGGACGTTGACAATGCCAATAAGTCTATTTTTATCTATTTTTGTTCGTTAGAAAGAGAACAATATCATCAGTAATTATTTTCTGATGGAGATTATCTTCTCATGAACTTTATTACTATTTTATTTCCTCATTGCTATCATCCACGTCATCAGTACTCTTCTAATTCGCCGCGCACAAGGTATTAAAACGAGTCCAATATATATTCTTATTTTATTAGAGAATTAGAATAGAAGGTTCTAAGTAGAAAAATTAATTATTTTCTTAATTCTACTTACAGATCATTAAGACCGTAACCCTCTCTCTCTCTCCCAATATTAATACTGATATTAATAATAGTAACGTTTGAGACGTTGGACACAGGCAAGAAAATGGATCAAACAGGCGATGAGCATGTCACAAAAAGAGTCATTTAAAATTAAGGCTGGTTATTATATACTTTTCTGGTACTATTTATAAGTCATTTTAAATATATTTCACACGAACAAATAAAAAATCTTAAACTTTATTAACTTTATATTAAAATTCAATATTTTTTCAATTTTATCTTTATTTAATAAAAACAAAATCAATATAATAATAAATAAAAGATAAAAGTGTATGTTCACATGAAAAGTTTATCTTTCTGCCTTATAAATATCAAATATAACCAAAGAAATTCATGTTCCTCCTGCCATATAAATAAGATTAGAGAAATACTAGCCACATGCCCTAGAGAACTGATTAAAAAAAAC